CCCACGCCCCACACAACACAGGGGGGGGGGCAGTAGGGTTCAGGGTTTAGGGTTTAGGGATGTTTAGGGTTTAGCGGTTAGGGTTTAGGGCCTATAGGGTATACATAAATACGGGTTTAGGGTGTGTTTTTGTCGTTTGGGGATTTAGGCCCTTGAGTCTTCCGGAGTGTCGTTCAGGCTACAAAGACATGAGGGACTTGGGAAGGTTAAGGGCTTCGGGTCAAATACACAGGAGCAAATTAGCCCAAGACCTCGGGCATACAAGAGAACTTTAACACCCATTCAGGTTCAGAGGCGTAGATTTCTGAGCCTCGGGTTTAGGGAGGGAGCCCAAGACTATGAGCATGCCAAGCCCTGAACAGTCCCAGTTGCCCGGCGCTCTTATTCTATGGAGCTGAGGTTTAGAGCGTGGGTATTTCTGAGTGATGAACCCTGAACCCTAAACCCAAATCCTAAGCCCTCGACGTTGATCGGATCTTCAACGCTTTGCTCGGTTCCTGCCCTGTGAGATCCTTCCGAACCGGCTCTACTGGGCAGCCCTCCATGCGGCACCCCGCGCCAATCCGAAGGCAGGCGAAGTTGGAAGATTTCACACGGCATGTAGCTTGCAGTTCAGAGGGGCGCTTTGAAAGCACACTGCTCCGCATGACGAACCTGATGATCAAGCCATGAACTCGCCAAGCTCTACGTAGATCATGAACATCATGTGTGTCGCAGGTGCACTACTTCAGCGTTGACCAAGAGTTCATCTATGAGCCGTTCTTTGCTGATTTCGGTGGGGCCCTGAGTGACAAAGATGCTTAACACGAATTTTCGGGCGAATCTTCATTCGGCGATGTTCCCACTCTTCCCAGGACCATCAGTTTCTATGCATTCTCTTGCTATCCGCTGCCCTTCGTGAGGCATCAGGTTCATCGCCGAAAGCAGAATTTCCAGGCAGTTGTCATTGTTCCGGCAACGCACACCACCGCAGACTACTGCCTTCTAGGTTTCAGCACGGTTGTCGTTCTGATGCTTCTTGTGCTTCAGATCTGCGACTCTAGTTTTCGACCCCTTCTTCGACGACAACGAGGGCTACGGCGATCATAATGATCACCATGACGACCACGGCGACGGGCGACTCGCAACCAGCGCTGGTGTGCCTATGCCCCCCCTGCGACGACTGCTCATGCCCAAGCATCGACAATGACGATGGATACTGCTGCTACAGCTGGACTTGCCATGAAACATGCATCTGTCATGGTCGTGTCTCTTGGAGAGACTGTAGTGATCTTGCTTGCATCAGATTGTGGATGGGTTCGCATCACTTCGGCTATTGTAGTGTTGCTGCTGTCATGACCATGGGTTGACACGGCTCATGCCGTTATTGAACGTTATTGCTATTCATTGGTTGAAGTTTAGAAACCTTTCTGTTCTTACGTTGTCCAGAGACCCAGGTCCACTTAATCTCGGACTGGTCTGGAGATACTGCAAGACGCTGGAGGCATCCGTCATCTGACACGTGACAATGGTGCCTTGTTTGATGGCTTGAAAAGGTAGCGAGAGAGTGACGCTGGGTTTTGATGCTTGCACGCATGACTCGCTTGTAGACCGACTGAAGCTGCAGGGACTTACAGCGATGGATGCAAGAAGAGCTCTACACCCCTCTTCCCTGAAAGTATTGATCCCAAAACCCAAGCTCACAAGTTCTCTGATGCCATCTACATCGTCACCGAGACCTGATACAGGCCCGAAGCACTAAAGTCTGAAGCTTCCTGACGTTCTCTTTCGACATCTCGGCGAGTTCCTGGACATAGCCAGAGCTTAGACTATAAGGGTTTCTACGTAGTAAGGGGACCGCTCTTGCCCCTGACCCGCCCCTTGAAGCGCAGACCTCAGAAAAGAGACCTTTGCAGTATGGCCCCAAAAAAACCCTTAGCCCCTCAAACCATAGACCCTAAGTCCTAAACCCTCAGCCCTAAACCCTGAGCTCCTAAACCTTCGCGGTTGAGTTTTGTTTGGTTTTGGTAATGTAGGAACCTGATTAAGAAACCCTGGCCCTGAAACCCCAATATCTTAGGGTTCATGTTAAGAACCCCAATAAAGACCCAGGGTTTCTTAATCAGGTCCCTGCATTATCTCTGAAAGGCCAAGCTTGCGGACGCCAACCTGGCAGACAAGCGGATTGTCCACTACTGCTCTCACGACCCGAAGAAGGTCCCAGGGGCTCAAATCTAGGGAGGTTTAGGGCTTAGGATTGACATGTTCGGGAAGTGTTGGGGCGTGGGGACTTGAGTTTGCATTGGGGTTGAGGCCTTTGGTGTTTTGGGGGTTTAGGCTTCAGGGTAATTTGGGTTGCGTGACGTAGGGTGTTGGGCTTTGGAATTTGGGAATCTGGGGCTCCAGCTTACGGGCGAAGCTTTGAGAAGCGACGCAACGAGTTCTACCGGCTACCGAAAGGCCGAGAGCCGCGGGCTCCAAGATGGGAACGTCGAGAGCTTTTGTGAGACAAGAAAGTCCAAGTTAGACCCGAAGTCGGAGTGGGACACGGAGGGTGTGCACCCTCAGCAGCTGCTCGAGAGCCCTATAAACCTTTGCAGGAAAGAGCAAAGCTTTCAGGCAGCCTACACCATGCGCTACGGACCCTGATCCCAAGCCTGAGGCGCATCTGACACCTGGATCAGGGCCCGTAGAAGACCACCCATAATGAGTCGAGCAAATCCTCTGCCACAAGCCGGAAAAACCTTCCTGCCCAGCGTGCCAACGCCGCCACGCTCATCAGCGCCTTCCAGGCACTTCCGGCAGAGGGTCACGCGGGCTTGAAGGGTTGGTTGGGTTGGATGGTTGAAGGATTTGGGGGCTTTCAGGCTTTTCGCGTTTGTGCTTCTGAATTGGATGCAACGCTTGCAGTTGCCATTTCCTGCGTCCAAAGCTGCAGGACCGACCGTGAGTCCATCCGTTGCCACTTCGCCCGCAAGCCCCAGTGCATTTGCAGGTCATCGTCCTAGGCAAGCCTGCAGATGAGGCTCGCAGTGCTCTTTTCGGACGGCTTGTAAGTCAGTGCCCACAGCTGGTGGTACACTCTCAGCACAGTGATAAGTACTTGCAGCTTGAGGGGATCTGCGTTGCCGGCACAAGACGCTTTTTTTGAATCTCGCAGCTTCGGCCTTTCAAGACTATTTTAAAGCCCTTGCATTTTTCAGACAACATGTCGATTTCTGTTGAAGTTAGACTCCTCAGTGGCAAGAACGCGACTGTGTCAGCACATCTGGAGGAGAAAGTGGGAACTCTCAAGCTGCGGGCACAGACTGTACTTGGAGTCGGAAGATGTCGGTTTGTAAACTCAGCTGGAGACGTTTTGGATTCTGACGCAAAGATCAAGGAGGCGGGGGTGCAGAATGGTGACGAGCTGCAGCTACAGGTCAATCTAGTTCAAGTATGTGGGGCTCTTCATGCTTTTGCAGCCATTCTTGGTGACGGATCGGTCGTGACATGGGGTTCTGCTGCCTTTGGTGGTGACAGCCGTGTTGTGCAGGATCAGTTCAGAGATGTGCAGCAGATCCAAGCCACGCAAGAGGCTTTTGCTGCCATTCTTGGGGATGGATCCGTGGTGACCTGGGGCGATGATCGCTTTGGTGGTGACAGTAGCGCCGTGCAAAAGCTTTTGAAGAATGTGAAGCAAATCCAAGGCTCCGGCCGCGCTTTTGCTGCCATTCTTGGGAATGGATCCGTTGTGACTTGGGGTAAAGCTGACGCTGGCGGTAACAGCAGTGCTGTGCAGAACCAACTGAAGAATGTAAAGCAGATCCAGGCTACTCGAGAAGCCTTTGCTGCCCTTCTGGAGGATGGATCCGTTGTGACCTGGGGTCGTGCTGGCTGCGGCGGTAACAGTAGTGCTGTGCAGACCCAACTGAAGAATGTGCAGCAGATCAGAGCCTCCGCTGGCGCGTTTGCCGCCGTTCTTGGCGATGGATCCGTCGTGACGTGGGGTCATGCTGAGTTCGGTGCTGACAGCAGAGCTGTGCAGGATCAGCTCAACAATGTGCAGCAGATTCAACCCTCAAGCGCCGCGTTTGCTGCCGTTCTTGAGAATGGATCTGTTTTGACCTGGGGTAGTATTCGCCGTGGTGGTGACAGTGGCTTTGTGCAGGATCAGCTGCACGGTGTGCAGCAGATCCAATCCACGCAAGAAGCTTTTGCTGCCATTCTTGACAGTGGATCCGTGGTGACCTGGGGCGATGATCGCTCTGGTGGTGACAGCAGCGCGGTGCAGGAACGCTTGAAGAATGTGCAGCACATCCAAGGCTCCGGCACTGCTTTTGCTGCCATTCTTGGGGATGGATCCGTTGTGACCTGGGGTGCTGCTGACCGCGGTGGCGACAGTGCCAGTGTGCAGGGGCAGCTGAAGAACGTGCAGCAGATCCAAGCTTCTGCATGCGCTTTTGCTGCCATACAGTACTTGGTGATGGATCCATTGTTACTTGGGGTTTTCATGGCCGCGGTGGTGACAGCAGAGCTGTGCAGGATCAGCTGAGGAATGCCCTGTAATGTAGCCTACACTGGCAGGGGCGGTGGTGGCAACGGCAGCAGCAGCAGCCACCGTAGCGCCCATGCATCCGTGATCATCATCTTGGAAATACCGTAGTCTTGGTAAACGCAGCTAGGAAAGCAGCTTGAGTAGTCATCGTAATCATCACAAGCGCAGTCGACATCGTGCGCACGACCCTGACCGACAGCCGCAACTCTCCGCATATTTCGGTCATGCTTCACCACACGGAGACCCAGAACCAATTATGTCATGATGCTTTTCAACCTCCCCAGCGTCGTGAGCATCTTAGAAGTCAGCATCAACGCAACGGCCTTCGTCCTGGGCATCAAGCTTCTCATGCTCATAGACAGAAGTGGTGGTGCCGTTTGCAGAGTCAAAGTCCCAACCAAAGTTGGTGATGGCCATGCAACGCTGCTCTTTGTCAGAGAATTGAGATTCCACAGCAGAACAGAGTCAGATCCTTCCACTGCAGGCCTACAAGCCCTTCCAGTCTGTCTACCCTCCCTTCTTGCCCTACCGCGACGCCACCTGCCGGGTTCCTGAGTGCATTGTTCTCGCCTGTCAGTTGCTGTAGCCAGATGGGCAGCACAGCTACCAAGAGCGGCGGCATGAAGTTAACGATTACAGCGTAATGTATCAGTCTTAGCATGAGTGTGCTCGTCGCAAGCAGAGAGCCGCAAAGAACGAACAGAATCCCAAATGAGCAGTGTCGATTTTTGTACCATGTTTCTGCACATGGGGGGATAACTGCGCCTACTTTTTGATTCTTCTTGTGGTGCGGGGGGTGGGGGGACAGGTGATGACGTTCTGTGTTTGAAGATTCGGAGAGGCTGTTAGGCGAAAGTAACACTGGCGAACGCACTGGCGAACATACCGAAAGTACCACGCCTGTCACACGAAACAGGGTGTAACATGGGATTGTGACTCCGCTGAAGCAACCCGTCGCATGACATGCCAAATCACATCATCACATGTCCTTTCATGCCATGATACAGCATATCGTGTCATATAATATCATTTTGAAGTTTGAGACCTTGACCCCACGGACCTAATATCATATCATGTCATATCATGTCATGTCATCTCTTATCATTTCAGATCATGTCATCTCACACTACGGGTTGCTTCAGTAGATTCCGATGCTATGTTGAACCTTGTTTCGTGTGACCCGCGTGGTACTTGCGGTAGGTTCGCCAGTGCCACTTTGAATCCGCTACTTTCTTCCTGACGGCCTCTTCCCACATGAGGATGTTTCTGGTGGGAGGATTTAGTATGATTTAGGGCTCATAGACGTATAGGGTTTGATGATCGTAGTGTAGCCGCTGCCTGAACCCGAGACTTCAGGATCTAGGGTTTCGGGTTCAGGGATCGGTTGGGAGGGCGCCCTGAATCTGGGCAGCTGATCGCGAGCCAAGTCTGGAAGCAAGCCTGCACCGCCTCCACCTGCACCGCCTCCAAGGTGGCATCTGCACCTACAGCTTGACGGTCCTTGACTGTGTCAAGGCCGGCTTGAGCATCGCGAGAGAAAGCATCAGAGAGAGCGCGCGAGACAGAGAGAGAGAGAGAGAGAGGAAGGAGGAGGCACACCCCAAACCCTACACTCGAAGCCCGCAGCAGGTCGTGCCCCAGAGGCAGTTGGAGGCATCTTTCCCGTTGGCACCAGGGCCCCGTAACTCGGTAATATTCCTGAAGCTATATAGGTTGATAATCCTGACCTTGTAGGGGGCTTTGTAATCTGACTTGGAGGGAGGTTTCTCCCTCAAGGGGGATATTGCAGGGCATGGAGAAGGCCATCGAATGCGGATGGTTCGACTGGAAACAGCTCCTTGGTCTAACGGTTTTAGGATGTAAGATTCAGGGCTAGGGAACGAGGGTATCCGCAGATGTAGGTATGTGTGTAGACATGTAGGTGGTGATACTGCATCGATTGCAGTCACAATGCTGTGCAGCCCCCCTGACTGCCCGTGAAGTGGAATTGGTTGAGAATCGCAACAGTGCCAGCGAAAACCCGCCACAGACCCTTATGGAAGCTCGTCTGAGGTTCGACGTGGACTCCTACGAATTCTTCGAAAAGGTTCCCATCCTCTCCCCAGAAACGGGGTGCTCCGAGTTGCCTCATTATTGGGGCGGCGGGGGCCAGGTGAAGCAAAGGCCAATGTAAACAGATAGTTTCCAGTGTGTCCTTTTTTTTGGGTTGCCATTCTCGTAAGAGGGCCTGTGGCTCAACCCCCGAGGCCATGGATCAAGAATGCTTTGTTCTCTGTAGAGCTGTATTCGAGAACACTGCAATCTAGTCAGAAACAAGTTACATAAATACGTGCTTACATGCATGCAGGTCAACCGAGTTCCAGGTTTGCAGGACGGGGATAGACAGAGGGGCAGATTTACAGGTGGAGGTGCAGACAGATCGATGGCTAGAGAGCGAGGGATTGAGGAGGACTGCGGCGCTGGCTCAATTGCCGTTGCAGTACGGCAATGGTGTCCGGGTGTCCCACATGCATCGTGGAAAGACCCTCGAGATTCACGTATAGCGTTGTTTTGTGCTGACCGCTATGTAGCTCTCCGCAAGCGACTGCGCTAGACTTGACGCTTCATCGCTCATCTGATGACGCAATGGATGCCACCTGGAAGAAGCTGCTCCAGGTTTCTGACAAGAAGGGAAAGGCACCCTTGGAAAGTCGCTGATTCGGCTTTCGTCTGCTCTGTCCACCCTAGTCACGAAATCTATGAGCATAGTTGTTATTGCTCTTTCTGTTGTTGTGGTTGTTGTCGTTGTCGACGCCCTTTTGGTGATGGCCAGATGGCGACGTTGTCGTCATTCTTGCTTTGCTGTTTTTCTCAAGCTGGTTGTTCCTATTCCTTGCGTCGTTCCCGCTCCTCTTGGTGTTCCATGTTTGTTGGTCCTACCCTGCTTTCTTCTGCTTGTTCTCACGGTGCCAGACCCCTGATGATCATCGGGAGTGCCTGGATACCTTGAAGACGGCGTTGCGAGACGTCGCAGTCGCCACGCTTGAGGGCAGGACTTTAGAGGGTTTTTGTGGATGCCAAGGTCCAGACAAGAACGCCTTTCATCTTGATCCTAAGTGATAAATCAGGCCCCTAAACCCTGAATCCTAACCCCGCGAATGCTCGAAACCCCAAACCCCTAAATCCAAGAGTCCAGACACCAGGAAAATTTAAGCCTTCTTCGGGAAGTTTTCAACCAGGATTTGGGCCGAGAGCATCGGGTCTGAGGCTGTGGCCTCAGCCTTAAATCGTCGATGGACAAACTCCAGCGTCTCTAACCGAAACTATCGGAGTGGCCCATAGTGTTGCTCGTTAGAGCGGATGGTGCGCNNCCCCCCCCCCCCCCCACCCCCCCCTTTTCGCCCGTGCCACCCACCCTACATCCTAAACCCACAGACTCTAAACTAGTCTCTATGGGTTCAAAAACAGCTCGCAGCCAGGCCCTCATCTTCCTGAAGCAGCGAAGAGGCTTGCATCAGTGGATGATGTAGGGCTCCTCCATCTAGAGCTCACTGGTTCAGAGTTTTGGGGGATGTAGGGTTTCGATGTCTGGCTCAGAGGGCTTGAGGGTTGAGGGTCCAAGGTAGGAATCTGATTCCAGAAACCCGTGCCTTGAATTGGAGCTCTTCGCCTGGATCGTATTGTCTTGGATATTTAGATCAAGGGATTTCTTGTTGAGGTTCCTACATGCTACTGCCATTGCCAACTACAGGACTCAGAGGCGTATACTCCGAGTCAGTGTCATTGTCCATGCTCTTGCCCGTAGTTTCGCTGCCTCTTCTCTTTCTTCCATCACTACCCCGTAAGCCTTGGACGCGAAAGGGGAAGACGATGCGCGAAAAGCCCTGGAAGTGATCGAAAAAACGATACAGGCTGGCCATTCTTTTCGTAGTGTAGACTTGACTGAGGTTTCTGCTGTTTAGGGGCCTGTGCTTTAAGGGTTTCAGAGTTTTCGGGTGTATTGGCTGAAGGCTTAAGGCTTTTGGGGGCTTAGGGATCAGGGTAGGGCCCATAGGGTTTAGGGATTTAGGGTTTTGGGCAGTGCAGTGAAATGCTAATTGGACTTTATGGGTTTCGGGTCTGGCGGTTTTTGTTTAGGGTTTCAGGGCTTGGGATCCAGGTTCCTTTTGGAGTACTGCTGATGGGGGAAGTGAAGGGATTTTTCGAGGGGGTCCAAGGATCACCGCGGGCACGGCCGAATGTTGTCAGGGTTTGGGTTGACGATATCCGAAGAAGTGTTCCTCATCAGGACGTCGGGATGTTTAGTTTTGCAGGGGTTTAGAGTTGGATCTGGTTCAGCTTCAGGCACCGACAATGATTATGATGAGGATAATGAGGATAATTGACGATGACGAATACGACACACGAGTCCTTGTACTGTAGAGTTTATGCTTTTCCACGTTCTTCAGCTGAGAGAGCGGGCAGGGTGAGATCTACAGCTTCGGCAGCCAGCTCTTCATCTTCAAGCAGGCGCTGCATCCGGCGCTGCCTGCGGCTCTTTGTCCAATTTCCCGACCTTGAATTCCGACAGCCACAAAACCCCAAACCCCACGCCCCAAGCCTTACCCCGCCTCTGCTACTCTGCTGATGGCGTGTAGGCCCCGAATACTTCAATCTCAAACCTTAGCTTTAGACTTCCCCCCGGAAAGTCGAAACACCTGAGCCTCCACGCAGCCCTAGACCTTGCAGGGACTTACCTGACCACCTTAAGAAACGGCTTTGCAAAAAGACTCCCAAATCCTTCTTCTTAGTGATTCCTCTCCATCTAGAACTCCTCTAAGGATCAAGCCCAGGCCCCCAAACCCTGCTCCCTTTTTCAGGCCTCGGTGACCTTGCTGATGGTCCTGAAATTGCTCCCAGACTTCTCTGCCAGCCTCGAGGCGTTGCCCAGGAGCGGCTGGTCAGGGGTTCTATGATTGGAAGGCATCTTTTTTGGGGGCCGAAACATGATGGTTTCAGGTGGGGTGCCTCCTGAGATGTTGATGCGGTTTGCTGGGTTCTTCAGGCTTAAGATGCAATCCAGATTTCAGCTGCGTTTCGTGGAGCTTTGATGGGTTCTTGTAGAACTTACAAGAGGGGGTCCTTCGAGGATCTGAGACCTCGGAATGCAAAGTTTTTCGGGGGGTCGGTAAGAGGTATGAGGGAGTTGAGCTTGAGATGCTTGCAAGGTCTGGGATCTCAAGAGCAATGGACGGGAAAAGTATATGTGTGCGTACGCGCGTGCGTTCGCGATGTTGCAGCAGCTTTATAGCTTTACGCAAGCCTGTGCACTAAAGCCGAAACCATAAAACCCTTTTAGTTGCCATACGGGAAGCAGGGCCATGAAGGAATACCTAGACAATGAACCCTTATGGCTGCCGTTCGGTTGCTTTGAACGAAATCTCCGAAGCTATTGCAGGGATTGAGACCGTCAGTGGGCAGTCCTCTAGTCTAGGGTTGGGATCACACAAACGGGCACCTGCGTGGCTCTCGGAGTCAGGACTCCCGGAAGGGACCCTAACTTAGAAAACCCCGCAGGAGAGTTTCCGTTTCCAACAAAGTCACCAAACCCTGAAACCCTTAAATCCCAAACCTCTGGACCCTCCCCCTAGTATTGGAAACCTGCTTTCGGCCCTGCCGTCGCCTGCCTGCCAAAGGCTGGTGTGGCAGTTGGTGGTGCAGCTCCACCGGCAGGCATGGCCTTCAAAGCACGCATTATCCCTAAACCCTCAAGGCCTGAACCCCGAAGCCTTGAAACCCTGAATGCCTCGAGGCTTTAGGCACTGAGGTTTTGTAAGGGCTCAGTGGTTTAGGGGTTTACTTCCTGCTCGATTGACTCGAATAGGGCTGGCGTATGCGGCTTTAGGGAGCTCTTTTTGCGTGGGCGCATAAGCGGGGTTGCAGGGTTTGCATAAAGGCTGCTATCTCGGTTTCACAGTGGGGTCATGAGGTTGATTTATTGCTGGTTTGGAAAGGTTTCGGTCTCCGGGGTTGGGAGCTGAGCTGACCCGAAACGAGGAGCCCAAGAAATCACGTTCGAATCTAATCATAGGGGCCCTTCTTTTGAATTATTGAATTCAGGATCCCTGTTTAGAGGTGCACATTGCGGTCTGCTTTTTCTGAATTTCGGATGTGGGGGTTGTTCTATGCTATAGCACTTCCCTGTTTCCAGTCGGCATTGGTCAGCAGGTACCTTCAAGGCAAGCCAGGTCACACTGTCATGGCCCCTTTACAGGCGTGCTCGCTAAGATGAGCTACTCGCGAAAATATTTAGTACTTGAAAACGAGGGTCCAAGAAGTTGCTGGCAGACGAGGTTGCCCCCGAAGGTTTTTGAAAGGATACCCTTAACCTAAACTTAAAGGCCCTAAGCCCTAACGCCATAAACCCTTAGGCCCTAGACCCTAAACCCTAAGCCTCTACTTCATCTAGAGATGCACTAAACGCAGGACTTCGCAGTTCTCAGCACCTTCTCGCGTGATGTCGCAGCAGCCTGGGACCTACGAATTCAATTCAGGCGGTGTTTCTCGAATGTTCTAGAGTTCTTCTCGGTTGTGTGGTTTGGGATCCAAGGTTTCGATTTGGCATATAGGGGCTAGGCTGCATTTTGTAGCTGGGGGCTTCGGTGGTTCAGGCTTCAGGGTTTCTGATGTTCAGCGGCTTCCGATGACTCGAAATTTAGGAACTGCGGCTTCTGGGGTGGACGCTGACTTTGGAGGTTGAGTGGCCGTGGTCACTCTAGCTTTGAGGGTTTGGGCTTTGGGGTTGTTGGTTCTTGAATTGCCCACGTGGCCTTGGCGTCGGAATGCTCATGGGGTTGGGAACCTCGATTTGGTGGCTTGAAGTTGCACTTTGGGCCCTCAAGCTAGAGGTTGGGGGGCCGGTCCTGCAGCTCTCCGGTCCCTTTGAAAGGAAGGTCTGCTGCTCGTGCTGCGAAACGTTGAGACCTGGCCCTAAAGAGTGATTCGGCTGCCTCTTCGTGCTTTCCCATGCTGGTGGAAGCCCTGGGGTGGGCTGCCTGCGCCAGCTACGCTGCGGCGGCTGTCAAGTTCAGCATTGATGCGTCAGTGCGGGTGCTGAGCGAATGTTTCGACTTCCGCTCCACGAGTGCGTGCGTTTCAACGCTGCAGCCGTGGTGGTGCCGGCTGCCATCCATGATTGAGGAGGCCCGACTTCGAGGTGTTCCCGTGACGGACGTCTTGCACCACTTGGCGATTCCCTTAAAGCGGGCTGCGGCGGCCCGCAAGATACAGGCGTTTATGCGGTCACGCAGTACAACCCTTGCCATGGCAGCCCTCAGCACTGCAGGCATTGCAGGCGATTGCGGTTCTGAGTGCGACGATGATTCAGACATTGATTCTGAGACTGATGACGAAGAGATCCGTCCCAGGGGAGCGCGACCAGCAGAAGGAGTGGTTGCAGCGCAGGTTGATCCTATGTCAGTCCTGGGCCGAGAAGCGATTCGAGTCATGCTTTTCCATTTGAACGATGGCGAAGCGCCGGAAGAAGGCACAGTCCTCAAGCTGGCATTGCAGAAGCAGTTTTTGTTCGCTGCGTACAGCGCCCGCGGAGTCTTCAGAACCAAAGCTGCTTTGCAATTGGTGGGTGCTGGGCATGGAATGCAGATTGCTGGCTGTGGCTCCGAGCATTTGTCAGGTGGTGGGCGCGCCGTGCTTAGCGCAGCCACGTTCTTCGCAAGACGACATCAAGTTCCGTTTTTGATTCTGCAACCATTGGACTCGGCAGCCCGATCCTTTTGGATTTACAACGGCTTTTCTGAGTGCACTGCACTTCGCGGGCTGTATCAGCACCGGAACCACCGGGACTGCCGATGCTACTGTCAACACATGCGAAGTGTCACGAGATCGGTGGCGGGGCCATGCACAGACCGCAACTTGAACGTGGCTGACTTCGTCAATTTCCTGCTTGGCAAGACATCTCTGCTTCATGCGCCGCTGATCCTCTGGTTGTAAGCAGGCGTTCATGTCGCTGTTCACTGCCGTGCGGTTGTCCTTGGCTGCGATGATGAGCGAGCGCCGGCTGGGCAACATGGTGACACAGGTGGCTGTTCGACACACACACACACACACGCACACTGCTCCGCGACGTGGTGCTGCATGGCCATCTAGTATCTGAACTTTGCCACATTGTGGTTAAAACAGACAGAGAAAAGGTCCGCCTAGTGAGGGATTGATGGTTTCCCGAGGGTTGCTGGTTTTTGGCTTTTGGCTTTCTTGAGTTCCGCATCTCCCAGCAAAATTTCTCCCACTGAAAGCTCTGATCGTTTGCTGCACCTGGTGACTTGCCACAGTACATGGTTTCAGTTGTTGCCCTGTTATTGCCTAGTATGCTTTGCGGTAGAGGCGAGGATCGGGGTGTTGACGAGACCCCCAAGTTTTAATCCTGAAGCCTTTCACAGTGAATGCCGAGGTTGTTTGCTGTAAGACTCTTGCCGTGATTGCTGACCTCATCTTGCTGTTGGTTAAGAAGGAATGAGCCATCCCATGGGCTCCTGTTTAACGGATTCGTAGGGGTGGATAGGGATGGTTCATCCTTTCTTGCCCTTTAACCGGGGCGTGAGGGCTCCACTTATGATTATATCCTGAAACCCTAGAGATCTCCCGTTTGGTACAATATTCTGACCTAAGCCCCTGTAACCTCTCCGAGGCCACCCTGAATCACACAAAACTCACCTAAACCCCACAAGTTCAACCCTCAAGCTTGAGCCATCAATTCACATGAACACTAAAACCTGACCCCAATACGTAAACCGCGAGCCCTAATCTTAGACCCTATTCCCCCCAAGCTTTATGGAGCAGTTGCAAGGGTCCAGGTTCCGAAAGCATGTAGGCACTGGTGCATGTGATGACCTTTTAATCAGGACCCAATAGAAAGCTTGAGCTGAGCTTTTCTAAGGCTCATTTGAGGAATCCCTGAACGCTAGACTCCCCTAGGCCAAAGCGCACAAACCCAACTCCACCTGCCGAACCCCAAAGCCCTTCACGAATCCTGTCAGAACCCGCTTTCGGGGTCCTTCTTCTGAACGCCTTTGAAGAACACCACGCCCTAAACCACCTAAGCCTTAAACACGAAACCTTAAGCCCCCCAGACCTTACGAGAGGCCCTGCGCGCTTTGGTCAGTCGCCCTTTCCGGCTCACGGCATTCGCTCGGCTCTCGCGCCTTTGCAAGGAGCCCGAAAGCGCTTTCTGTGAGAGTTATTTGAGGAATTCTAAAAGGGTAAAGTTGCCGTGGGGAATACCATAAGGGATAGTAGGGAGATTGATTCCATAAGGGTTTCGATACACAATGCAACAAGGGTTGGTATAAGGGATGCTTACCATTACCAGGCACAAAGGGCTTCAGTTCCTGCGCGATGAGTCTTGGGTCAGGTTCGACAGTGTTTATCACTCTTCATAATGCCGCGAGTCTCGAGGGGTTTAACTGGGGATTTCGGACCCAGGCCGACAAAAAAGTTTGCAAGAGTAACCTCATTTGATAAAGCTCCTAAGCTTTAAGTCTAAGTCGCTCCGCAGCCTAAAAAACCGTAACCCTCATCCATGAATCCTAAGGCCGTACACCCTTGCACCCTAAACCCTTAAGCCTGAAACCCTACATCCCCGCATCCTGAGCTGTCAGGCTAAAGCCCTAAATCCTCAAGCATGGTGCTGGCCGCAGGACCGCCTGCCGGACGCTGAGAAGGCCTGGACCAGACAAGGAAGACCCCCTTTTCTTTTTTTTTTTGGACGGAGCCTCGAAGAGTGGGGCCGGGAGAACTACTGCAGTAGTAGTAGGCCGCTTACGATATGGTCGGTAGAGTCCCCATTTTTACACCATAGTCTCATGGTATGATATGCCATGACATGCCACCAAAATTCATATTCCAATAGGTGGCGAGGCGACCTGTGAAGTGCTCTCACGTGCTCGGCCAGCGTCGGCTTTCCGAAAGATCCCCAAAAGCCCTTCTTCGGGTTTCGGGTTGAGCTTTCGGCCTTTTTACTTCAGGGTCTAGGGTCATGTTATGGTCGCTCCAGTCTCCCCATGTGCCAGGCCGGAACTCCGGGTGGCGCCGGCGCTGATGGTGCGGGGCGTAGAGCTTCGGGGTTCCGGGGGTCCAGCTTTCGGCTCTAGGGCCAGGTGCTGCCAGGTGCCAGGTTGCAGGGCTCTGGGGTTTGAGGCTTCAGAGCTTTTGGTTTTCGGGTGGGGGCTATGTTGAGCTTATCTACAGCAAACGAGTTTACCAAGCTTTCTCCATCCCCGAAGAGTAGGTTGCTAGGGTGGTTGGACAACCCGTACCTAGCATACAGAGAGAGAGAGACAGAGAGAGAGACGCAGAGAGAAAGAGACAGAGAGAGAGAGAGAACCCTTAGAGTCTTCATAGCGCTCTTGCAGACACCCGAAGCCCCAAAGCCTAAACCCCCAAGCCTCCTCCAGAGCCGGAGGCCTCTCCCTGGAGCTCTCGGAGGGCCGCCTTTGGGCTGAAGGATCTTTGAGACTCTCATCGTGGTTTGCAAGGGCGTTGTTTGGGCATGTCTAGGGCTTTCAAGGGGTCTTCGCAGGTTTTGATAGGTTTTCATAGGGTTGTATTGGAAAATTGCATCAATCAGAGCGGTCAAGAGGGCGCGCGAAGACGAATCATGCTCGAACGAGCTCGTTTCCGAGGATGACTCATGGTCACTGTCAAAGGAACTGGACAGGAAAGAGCTGCGGTTTAGGGTTTAGGGTTTGTCAAGACTGGGAAGATTTGAGCTTTCAGAGAAGGAGCATCAGAACAGAATGTCAGCCGGACAACAAACTTCAAACACAGAGCTTCGAAAACACAGTGTCCGCCTCAAAAAGAGGCATCACCGCCTCTTTTCGGTTTTGCCTGTCCTTTTCGATACTTTTCGGGCTTTTCGACATTTCGGTTTTTCCTGTACTTTTCGATGCTTTTCGATGCCTTTCGGTCTTTTCGTGCTTCTCGACTTGTCGGTTTTCCTGTACTGTTCGTAACTATTCGGGCTTTTCGACTTTTCGGGCTGTCCTGTCATTTTTCGATAGTAGTTCGGGCTTTTCGGCTTTTCGACTTTTCGCGTTTTTCCTGTACTTTTTAAGCTTACTCATCAGACCATCATGACCTTCAGTTCTGACCTGGTTAAGGCATGAAAAACGAAAGTTCTGCAGTGCTGTAGTTGCGGCTGAAAGGCCGGCGCACCACTAAGCAACACAGCCGCATCAGACGCAAGTGACATGCAGGTAGGGTGCCTTGAACATGGCCTGACAGGCCTTCGCCTCAGCCGCGAGTGATATAATATGCATGTCGCGTGGCCTGAACTTGGCCTAACTTTGCGAAACACTTCGCGCAGAACCCAAAACCCTTGACACTCTCCCGAGTCTGCGCCTCCCCTCTCTGCAGGCGAAAGTTATGCCAAGATGCTTTCAGATCTTCCGAACTTGCCGGGGTTTCGTATTCTGCAGCGTTTTGTTTTTGACTTTTTGACGTTTCGACTTTTCACGTTTTGTTGTTCTTTTCGACTTTTCGTGGCTTTTTGACTTTTCGGGGTGTCTGGATTTTCGTGCAAATCTGTATCCAACAGCACTTTTCGACTTTTCGCTTTGCGACTTTTCGCGTGCCGTTTGGCATTCTCCACGTATCCGTGCCCACGGGCGTTGGCAAACACAGGTGGCTCAAAGGTAACACACACACACACACACACACTTGTAAAACTGAGCCCCGAACCTTAACCCCACCAGATGCAGGGTTTACGGTTTAGGGTTTAGGGTTTCTGGTTCGAAGTGTAAGAAATTTTGGTTTTAGGTTTCCAGCAAGTTTGGATTCCCGAAAGCTATGGTGCCGAAGTCCACATGAAGGGCTGCATGCATTGCAGGATCACACTTCTAAGTGCGGTTTACTGCAGAGACATCTAATATCATCTTATCCTGAACCCTAAATGCTATTTAATAAACCGAGAAGTGTAACAACATAAAAGCTTTACTTATTCACTATGAAGTCTTCAATTGGCATCGTTCTACGTTGCGTAGAAGCCTACCCCGTGCTCCGGTATCCTAGATCCCTGCAATGCCACCTAGGGCTAGGGTTGAGGGTTCAGGATTTAAGGTGTAGTGTAAACCGTAGCCCATAATCTGAAACAGAAACTGTGTTGGGCTTTGATGTGGGAGTTTCCGGCAACACATGCCGCAAATATCCTTTTTGAACCTGATGACAAGGATCCCGATCCCCACCCCCACCTTCCGTATGCTCCCCTATCTGTCAATGGCAAGCTATCCCAGATTTGATTCAAGCCCTACAATATGAGGGCCTTTGTAATTCGGATACTCTTCCCCGGGGTTCCTGTGTACAGCTCCAATACCCCATGCCACCAAACCTTACTCGAAGTATTAAGCCCTGTTTAGATGGTTCACCCTTTGGTTCACCCCAGAGCTGTCAACACACCGTTAATTAATCAATAAACCCTAGGGTCTTTTGGGCTTCTAGGGTTGCGCAGTTCGGGTTTAGAGTTTAGGGTGAAAGTGAAAGGTGGTTACATGCAATCAGACTGAGAATATATGGGTGGTTCTCTAAACATTGAGGGGCTTCTTCTGGGTTCCGAGAAAGGGACCCTTTTGTGGAGCACTGCCGATATGTTAAGCCCCTAAAATCTCATCCCCGGCTGGAATCTTGAGACGACCGATGGCTAGATTCGTATTCTGTAGGGCTTCCTTATTGCTCTATTCGTGCACTATACCCTGTCTGAACTGTTAAGGCCCCCCTGTATATTCTGGCCAGGTGCTGTAGGCTACCTACAAGCTCCTTAGGGCTGTGCAGCACTGGAGATTGGAGAAGAAGTCGACGCCGTAAAGATTGAAATCCTAAACCTGGCTCTTGTTTTGGGATTAGTCCTTTGTAGAACCCTCGCGCAGCCTTCACGGCTCAGCCTCAACAGACGATCAACCATCTTGCTGTAGAAGGACCTGACGAACAAACGGCATCCGAGCTCTTTCTCAGTCCCGAAGCTTCAACCCTAAACCCAGACCCTAAATCCCAAACCATCATAAGCCCTAAAGCGGGAGAGCAGGAATCCTTCAATGGAACCCTAAACTTGAGTTCTCAGGTTCCGAACCTTTAAGGGCTGCTGTAAGAGCTCTTTAGAGGGTTGCTCTAAGGCTCTAAGGGCTGTATAAGGGTTCCTTTTGGGTTCTATCAGGGTTCCTGGCAAGGGTTCCATGAGGGTTGAATGAGGTTTCTGTAAGGGATCCTTCAAGGGCGGCATAAGGGCTCGGGGTAAGGGTTCAAGGTTGAGGGAGTTGGCATTAGAGTTATGTGATTGCTGCTGGAGCTCAGGATTTGGGTTGAAGCAAGGTGTAGAGTTTGGAGAATTTGGACGCTTCCCACGTGGAGCATGTCGATTGCGGTGGAAGTTTCGCTGCTCAGTGGCAAGACAGCTGCTGTGGAAGCAGACCTCGACGAAACGGTGGTGGCGGCAACGCAACGGGCACAGATCACACTGGGAGTCGGGAAAGGGCGGCTGCTTGACTCGTCTGGGGCCGTTCTGGATGGAGGCACATCGATCAAGGAAGCCAGGGTGCAGAATGGTGACTCGCTGACCTTGCACGTAAATCGAGTTCAGGTGCAGTCCTCGGATGGTGCTTTTGCTGCTATTCTTGGCGATGGATCAGTTGTGACCTGGGGTGATGCTGACCATGGTGGCGACAGCCGAGCTGTGCAGGATCAGCTGAACAATGTGCAGCAGGTCCAAGCATCTGCGTATGCTTTTGCTGCCATTCTTGGGGATGGATCCGTCGTGACCTGGGGTGGTGCCGGCTGCGGCGGCGACAGTCGTGTTGTGCAGGATCAGCTGAGCAATGTGCAGCAGGTCCAGGCATCTGGGTATGCTTTTGCTGCCATTCTTGCGGATAGATCAGTTGTCACCTGGGGTGATGCTGACTATGGTGGAGACAGTCGCGCTGTGCAGGTTCAGCTGAAGAATGTGCAGCAGATCCAAGCCACTTTCGGTGCTTTTGCTGGCCTTCTTGGCGATGCAACGGTTGTGACCTGGGGACATGCTGAATGTGGTGGCGACAGTAGCGCCGTGCAGAGTCAGCTGAAGAATGTGCAGCAGATCCAAGCCTCCCGCACTGCTTTTGCTGCCATTCTTGGGGATGGATCGGTCGTGACCTGGGGTGATGCTGACTCTGGCGCCGACAGCCGAGCTGTGCAGGATGTGCTGAAGAATGTGCAGCAGATCCAAGCCTCTCGCAGTGCTTTTGCCGCCATTCTTGGCGATGGATCCGTCGTGACCTGGGGTGATGCCGGCTGCGGCGGCGACAGTCGTGTTGTGCAGGATCAGCTGAACAATGTGCAGCAGGTCCAAGCATCTGCGTATGCTTTTGCTGCCATTCTTGGGGATGGATCCGTCGTGACCTGGGGTTTTAGAGGCATTGGTGGCGACAGTCGTGTTGTGCAAGGTCAGCTGAAGAATGTGCAGCAGATCCAAGCTTCTGGCGGCGCCTTTGCTGCGATTCTTGACGATGGATCTGTGGTGACCTGGGGAAATTCTGCTTACGGTGGTGACAGTCGTGTTGTGCAGGATCAGCTGAAAAATGTGCAGAAGATCCAAGCCTCTGACCGTGCTTTTGCTGCCATTCTTGGCGATGGATCCGTCGTGACGTGGGGTCATGGTACCTCTGGTGGCGACAGTAGTGCTGTGCAGGACCTTCTGAAACCTGTTTGCTAGGTTTGTGCGCAGCAGTGCAGGACAAGATTTGCAGACATGCGGTTTCGAAGGGCTGACCAAGCCCTACAATATGAGAGCCTTGTAATTCGGATACTCTTCCCCGGGGTTCCTGTGTACAGCTCCAATTCCCCATGCCACCAAACCTTACTCGAAGTATTAAGCCCTGTTTAGATGGTTCATCCTTTGGTTCACCCCAGAGCTGTCAACACACCCTTAATTAATCAATAAACCCTAGGGTCTTTTGGGCTTCTAGGGTTGAGCATGTAGGAAGACAGGTTGCCGGAATTTCAGTTTGACAAACAGCTTCAGAGCTCCAATGCAACAAAGGCTCCAGGGCAAGACACAGAGCTTCAAGAAACAGTTCGGATCTTGGGTTCCCGCTGAAGAGCCGATGGCTTGTCGTCTGGTTTAGGGGATTCGCCCCAGGTCAGTCGGACGGGGCACCCAGATTGATCTACTCCTTGTCTGAGGGGCATAAAAGGGAATCGTGCTAGCATGGCCCTTACAGTATCATCGGGATTCCAGATATATGGCCTGTATAGGAACACTATGAGGTTCGTCATTGCGCTTTAGCAAGGGAGGGCCTAGCCACACGTTTGGGGACGAGAGTGAGGCTTCGCTTCGACGGCAGCGAGGCTGTGCCGCCTGGCGCGCGACGTGGGCTTTGAGAGGGAGGCCGCGGCCGGCGCTTCGAAAAAGCCCTCGAAGCCCAAATGGTGGTTTGTCCTTCTCCCAGACCTCCCAAAAAGGTATATGTACCCAAGTCGAACTCCTATACTGCAGAGGGATCTTGGGATCTTGGGGCTCTGGACAGCCCTAAAAAATCGCAGCTCCCGGGACCCCGGAGGTAATGCAAAGCTCCCTGATCCGGTTGTTGGCTGCTGTGGCTCGCTGGTCCGTGGAAGGGAGCATGGAGGTGCGGAGAGCTCGGACGCTTCAAAGTTTAGGGTTTAGGGTTTTGGTAAAGCACATAAGATTTTGGCATAGGATCTTAAAGTATTATAAAGTATTGAGCCCGTCATACTGCAGGAATAGTGCCTTGGACAGTTTACATGCAGGTCGGTTTCCTGCTCTTCGAGTAGCCCCAGCTTCGACTCTAGATTAAGGGGCATAGTACGTCCAGGGTTGCGATCATTCGTCCAGTTTTAGCCCAATAGAAGTTTCTGGTGGATATCTACAAGTTTTGTATGTATCCGAACATAGAGTTTGTTGAGAAGCTGATGGTGCATCCCTGAAGTTTCAAAACACCCTACCGGGTTAAACCCTACATCCGAAACCCTCAAATCTAAACAAACAGCCCCGAAACCCCAAACTCCCCATGCAACTCAAACCCGTCACCTGCAAAAATCTTCCGGAACCTTCCAACGCAACCCGTACAGTAATCTTAAACCAATCCGAGACGACAGCCCTAGAGCCCAAAACCCCGAACACAAAGTGACCCCAAACTCCAAAAATCCTTCAACCCGAACCCTCTAAGTCATAACCCCAACCTCAACCTTATCCTAAACCCTGAAAGCCCTAACCCAAAAAACCGTAGTTGGCGGACCGCATACCTATACTCTCCATTGTAGTTCCTTTTTGCTTTTAACCAGTTTTATGGTTAGGATCCTATTTCTGAGCGTTCCTTTCTGTATAATAACTATAGGTAGAATCCGAAGCATGCGCCAGGTTGAGGAAGCTGTGCGGGTGCTGCGCGAGGGGCTCGAAGCCCTGGCCGCCCTGCGCCGTGAGGCTGGGGGCCCCAACAAGGGGTGTAGGACTTTTAGGGTAGGGTTTAGGGTTTCGGGGCCCCGGCTTTTGGCATTTGGGGCTTTCAGGGTTTAGGGGCGCAGGGCTTTCGGGTAGGGGGTTTAGGGTGTGAGGTGTTGAGGGGTTTACGGTTCAGGGTTGACGGTTTTAGGCTTTAGGGTTAAAGGGTTCAGAGGCTTAAGGATTTAGCAAAACTGTGTTGTCATCTAACCTGGAGTCTCCCCCAAAAGGGGAAGTTGTAAACCCTACATCAACATATATAATATAATATGTACTATACACTATATACTATATACTATATATACTATCTTGGTGGGGAGTTGCTGCCACTGCCGGAGATGGATCGGTAGTGACCTGGGAACATTCTGATTGTGGCGGTGACAGCAGTACTGTGTAGGCCATGTTCAAGAATGTGCAAGAGATCAAGCCACTGGCGGCGCTTTTGCAGCCATTCTTGGCGATGGATCCGTGGTGACCTGGGGCCGCGCTGGCGGTGGTGGTGACAGCGGTATGATGCATTAAAGAACTCAAGGCACTCGTGGCGGCACTTTTGCTGCTGTTTCTTGGCGATGGATCGGTTATGACGTGTAGCGATGATATGCATGGTGCTGACAGCAGTGTTGTGCAGCATCAGCTGTTCAAAGCCCCTGGCAGCGCTCTGCTGCCATTCAAGATGGATCTGTCATGACCTGGGGTGCTACGTATTTGGGTGGCACGACAGTGCAGTGGTGCTTTTGCTGCTATTCCTGCGATGGATCCGTTGTGACCCGGGGCTTTGATCCCTGGGGTGAAGATTGCACTTCTGTGCAGAGTCAGCGGAAGAATGTGCAGCAAATCCAAGCTACAAACTGCCGGAGATTTTGCTGCCATTCTTGGTGACGTATCGGTTGTAACTTGGGGTAGTGCTGACTAGGCTCGTGACAAGGCTGTGCAGTTTCAGCTGCAGATTGTTGACTCGAGTCGCGTCTGATTGTCTGTCGCAGAGTCGCTGAGCTTCGACATAGTGTTAGCGTTTCACTAGACTTCCAGCAGCATGGCACCTGCCAAGATGCGGCATCAAAGTGCTGAGGACTGGCTGGCGACATGTGCTGAGCCCCAGCGCCTATACCTGAAACCCCCTATACGCTAATCTAAATATGCAACAAACTAACTGTCCCTCTCTCTCTCTCTCTGTCTCTCTCTCTCTCTCTGCCTTTCTCTTTCTTTGTATGTATTTTTTTGGTTTATTAATTTCACAACTCCATATACTATACAGATACATACTTATACATATTCACGAGGTCCCATCGATTCAGATCCAATCCGAGCTCGGCGGCGCTTTGCCAGCGTTGGTGCGCTTCGTGTCGAGGCGCACGCGCTGCGGAAGGATGTTGTTGCGCAAGAAGCGACGGACTATAACATGCCATGGGGTTTTATGAGTGCACGAGTCCCAGAGCTGCAGGGTCCTCTGGCTATGTGGGGGTACATTTGGTATAAGCAAGCAGCTTTCATCGGCTTCCCAGTGCGCTCTACCTCGGTAGAGGCGTAGCCCTTATTCTATCACAGAAACAAAGTGCAGCCGAGGTGTGCCCCCTCCCTGGGCCCGGCTCTTGCGGACCTTCTGGAATTGGCGTTGCAAGAGCACAGCGCCGCCCTGCTGCTCCCGTCCCCGGCTCAGAGAGGATCCTGGTTCCACCCCAACGTCTCGACCCTACCCTAAGCCATACATGTGCAGCTAAGCAAGATAGAAGCATATGATCCGATATTTCATAGAGTGCAAGACAGTATACCAGCATTGCACGATACAGCATTGCAGAATGAAGTTGTGGTGTATGTATCTATATACAACATATATATATATACTCATTTATATACATGTGTATATATATATATACACATAAATTGGATTTCGGGGCTTGAGCCAAGTAGAACTTGCCGGGACTGAAGGCAGCTTCCATCTGTGATGTCCCTGTTGCTGATGGCAGTCGAGAAGGCAGGGCAACGCAAAGAATCGTCGAATAGAACACAAGTCAGTATGCCATTATGCCAGGCCACAACGAGGCCAGCACATGACATAAAAACTGATCCTTTGTATTTATTTATGGTTGAGACATATGACACAGAGCTATATGGCATAATGCAACAGAAGATGATGTAAGCCAGATATCATATCAAAGCGATTGCGACCACATAGAAATAGCAAACTGTGCTAAAACCTTGTCAGAGGCTACAACGCAGCTTCGACTACGACTAGAGTAGGGTGCTGGACGGTGTAATCGGATGTATGTGTTGGATGGTGTGCAGCAAGACCAAGCTAGACAAAGTTTCGTGCGGCGATCTAGTCGGCAAGCACATGCTACAAGGGAGCCCCATATCATACGGCCGAAGCCGTAAGCCTCTAAGCCCCAACCCTTCACTGAGCCCTCGGCCCGAAGCCTCGTGGCCTGAGCTCCAGTAACCAAAAGGCTCTGTTGACAGGAAGAAGAAGCCTCATTACTTGTTTGCTATCCCCACTAGCCCCGAAAAAGCATCCCAGTAACCCATCTTGGCAGCCCTGCTATTTCAAAAGAGTGCCGAAATAGAACCTAAAGCCTGGAAAACCTCTCAATCGTCAATCCCTAGATCATGAATCCTAAAACCTCAACTGCCGAAAGCCCGAGACCCTTGCCCCTGTAAGTTCATGCCGGAATTTCGTGACAGACGCCAGCAGTCCCAACGACGCCTCCAAACCCAAATCCTTACAATCCCAAGCCCTCTAATCCCAACACACTACAACCCTGTAAGGCTGACGCAGCTACAGCCCATGGACCCCACAACCCTTTGGCCCCAAGCCTGACACGCCCCAAACCTTAAGAAGCTCCGCAACTCCGAAGCTCGAAACCTGAAACCCTAAAGCCCCTCCTTCAACATGGTCGAAGCTTTCCAAGCACGGCCCCTGCACGACAAATTTTGCTATCCTTAAAAGAAATGCCTCAAAGCTCCTCTTGAAATCCCCGCAACAAACCGACGAAGTCCAGGGCTCCTGGAGCCTTCGGCCCTTGGCTTTGGCGCTCCGCCGTTTTGGGGAGGCGCCGCTGCGCTGCCCGCCAGGCACACGGCGGTGGAGTTTGTATCAAGTTTTCTATGGCTATGTGTTAGGGCATGGTTCTACGGTTTGTTTTTCAGGGGTCCAGGTTGTAGAAAGGCGTTTATGGCGATGTTTGGAAGTAAGAAGGTTTTTTGCCAAACACATCTTCGGGGTTGTTTTCGAGCGTTTCAAGACGGTTATATCTACTGTGTTTTCTTTGTTAGGGGGCTTTGTATATTGGATTTTGCTAGCTGTTCCTGTATTCCCCAACAGCAACTGAGTTCTTATACGGTTTTGTGGTGTGTTACTGGGGCCCGTAGGGCTTCTCGGCTCTAAATGGTTCAGAGGCTCTCGGTCTGACGTATTGTGTTTCTCTGATTTTTCTCAAGTTGAAGTCTATGAAATTTTTGGGTAGGTAGTTGCCGTTATAGGAGCCTTATAGAAGCGTTATATACCCTAAACTCCCCACCTGTAGTCTCCTTTAGTGAAGGCCGCTTCTGTGAAGGCGTAAGGCGTAGGATGCACGTACCCTTGTATGTATGTAGACTAGAGATGTACATCTGCGCAAACACACACACAGACACAGAGGTACATGCGTATGTACGCATATCAATCTCTATATATATATATATATAT